TTGTTACTGGGACATATTGAGTAACAGCCCATTTGCAGTTCATGTTAATAGTTTGGGGACAAAAGTCAATTGTTTGACTCAACAGTTCTTGCTCAGAAATTCATTTTGTAGCCATCACTGATTAGCACCTGTTTTATTGTTTTCACGGAAATCAGCTGCTACTTGTGTGTTCAACATTCTTGTATTTTGAATGAAGGAAATTATTATATCTCAAAATGCCATTGATTGTATTGAGCACAAACTATTCGAGATAACTAACAGATGGGGTTTGGACACAGTGACATCTGGTTATAGATACCCCCAAGTTTCAGAGTGAGAATAATGATCTGTACAACTGATAGTAGGAACTGCCGATGCTGAAGAATCTGAGACAACAAGGTGTAGAGCTGGATGAACACAGCAGGCCAAGCAGCATCAGAGGAGCAGGAAAGCTGACGTTTCGGGTCTAGAACCTTCTTCAGAAATGTCTAGACCCCCTGCTCCTCTGATCTGTACAAGTGTTTGCTTTCATTAATGCAAATGTAAAGCATTCAATTCACCAGTGACTGTTTTCCAAAACTCTGATCTGCCCATATTGATGATGACTGTGGGTGATTGTAACCTTAATGAAGAAAATTGTGAAGCCTATGGTTTACACTACAAAGCTAAATTGTAAAAGGAGCGCTTGTTCAGACCACCTCAACCCCTCCCCAACCTGTGCACTCTCCAACAACATGGGAAATTGGAGAAATTTTGTAAGATATCAATGGATTTCTTGATTAAGGTAGCTGTAATGTAGAAGTAGAAAAGCAAATGTTAGGAGCTGGTCGGATTGAGATTAATACTGCAATTGGGAAGGGGCAAAACAATCGACAGCAGTGCTTAGTTCAAGCACATTGTAATCGTATCCACTAGATTTCCTATAATTTCCCATTAGCTGTATGTGCTGCAGTTAATACTGTTCTGAGCCTGTCGACAGTAATCCCCTGTCTATAATACAGTAATCTTACAAGATTTAAAGAGACTAGTGTCTATTGCATCCTGAGCCATTTTGAACGGCAGATTTTGAAAGCAGTTACATTAAGATAAAGCTACCAGTCTTTTAACAGAGTTGCTTGAAATCTAGCCAATGATTTACACATGATACAGATGCTAGGCATGAGGGAATATTAAAAGCCAGCAGTTGAGCTGTGCTTTTCATGGGGAGAGATGCTGTTTGAGTCTTACTGGAGCAACATTCATAGCATAATTCAAAATGAATATCAACTTCACTATTCAACCACTGGAATGAGATAATTGTCATTTGCTTCTTGCCCAAATAACTTTGCAAAAAATATGATTCGATAATCTGAAACTGTTTCATTTAAATAAACTAGTTTTCAAGAGTCCGAATATTTTAGATCAATAAATATATTTATATAGGAATATATATTTTGTTTCAGTTGTTAAGAGCATGTTACTTCGGTGAAAGTTTCATTTAAACCTGTTTTAAGTATCTGTAGTACTTATTGTTTATGCAAATACAGTTTTGATAGGCATTTTACAGTATTAAGCGTGTCACAATATCCTGACTTGGCTTTCTATGTTCTGACCTGATCTTGTAGCTGAGGTATACGTATGAGATAAAAATTGAAAGAACTGCGGATGCTGTAAATCCGGAACAAAAACAAGAAGTTGCTGAAAATGTTCAGCAGGTCTGGCAGCATTTGTGAAGAAGAAAATCAGAGTTAACGTGTCAGGTCCAGTGACCTTCCTCAGAATCTGCTGAGCTTTTCCAACAACTTCTGTTTTTGCACGGTATTTGTATGATTGGTCCAGTAAAGTCTCTGATCAGTTGTAACCTCCAAGATATTGTTGATGGTGGGGATGTCCACGATGATCCATCATAGTTAGACTGTCACTTATTGGCGTAGGACATTGCCTGGCGTTCCTGTGGCAGGATGTTACTTGCAGTTATCATCCCAGTGCTGAATGTTGTCCAGGTCTCAATGAGTGTTTGCACAGACTGCTTCAGTAAGTGAGGAGTCACAAATGGAACTGAACTGTACAATCTGCACTTCTGACCTTTATGATGGAGGTTAGGTCGATGTTGGTGAATATGGTTGGTCCTAGGACACTACTCTGAGGAATTCGTGTAGTGATAAACTGGGACTTGGATGATTGACCTTGAACAACCACAGCCATCTTCCTGTGTGTTAGGTATCAGTTTGGCCAAGTGAGAGTTTTTTCCTCTGATTTCCATGACTCCTGGATGGCACAGACTCTGAAAGGATGCCTTGATGTGAAGGGCACAGACTCCCATTTCACCTTTTGACTGCTGCTCTTTGGTACATGTCTGGATCAAGCCTGTAACAAGGTCTGGCTGAGTGACCATGGTGAAATCCAAACTGAACACAAGTGAGCAGGTTGATGACCCCTTCCATCAGTTTAATGATTTGAGAGTGAACTGATGGGGGTGTAATTGGTTAAATGGTATATCTCCTGCTGTTTGTGGACGAGATAAACCTAGGTAATTTTCCAGTTGATGCCGATACTGTATATGTACTAAAACTACTCTAAATACCAACCTGCTCATGTTTTCTGTGTCCTGTGCCTTCAGCCACTTTTTTATTGTCATGTGGAGTGAATCAAATTGGCTGAATACTGGCATCAGAGATGCTGGGGACTTCAGGACAAGGCCAAAATGGATCATCTTCTCAATTCTCGACAGAGATGGATATGAATGAGTGGCCTATTTTAAAAGCTTACTGAGTTATTTTGTTTTCAGAGAGCTTGTATGTAAAATGTGTAAGCAATGCATCTCATCTAAATGTATGAAAGATGTAAGGTGAGGAGGAAAGAGAGAAGTATATATCCATCTGTCATTAAAAGAATTAATTACTACAAACGTTCAACGTTTTTTGAAAATGCAACGTTATATTTTGCTTTCTCTTTATTCATTCGTAGGCTGAGGATGTCACTGGCTAGGCAGCATTTATTGCCCATTCCTAAATGTCCAGAGGGCAGCTAAGAGTCAGCTATATTGTTGTGAGCCTGGAGTCACATGTAGCTCAGACATGGTAAGGACAGCAGTTTCCTTCCTTAAAAGACATTAGTGAACCAGATGGGTTTTTCCAACAATCGATTCACGGTCATCATGAGACTCTTAATTCCTGATATTAGGAATCTAATGATGATCATGAATCGATTGTTGGAAAAACCCATCTGGTTCACTAATGTCCTTTAGGGAAGGAAACTGCCATCCTTACCAGGTCTGGCCTACATGTGACTCCAGACCCACAACAACGTGGTTGACTCTCAAACTGCCCCCTGGGCAATAAGTGCTGCCTGGCCAGTGAATTAATAAAGAAAAAAAGTTGTATTTTCAAAAAAAAAATTGGAAGTTTGGAGTAACTAATTCTTTTGATGACAGGTGGACAAAGTATATTAAATAGTATGCCAATATTCAAAAGATTTCACAAACAATGTGAATCTATTTTGTAGTGGAACCGTATGATTGCAGTTCCTCACAGAAGTTCCCAGAATGATACATGGCTTGATGTTTAACTTGTTTAGTAAGTTAATATGGTTGTTAGTTGCTGAAATGTAATTCCATAAGCTGCAGATGATTTTTAACAGAACACAAGGTTATTACACAAAAGAGAATAAAAACAATCTCTCTCTCTCTCGATATATATATTAGACATATTTATGTAACAGTACAACTTTAATACAAACATTAAAACAAAGTTTCAACCTGATTCCTGACACTGTCTATTACAGAGGTTCTTTTATGTTTCTACTGAACTGATTTCTTCCATTTGCTATCTTTTGAATTGTAAACAATTTTACAATTCATCCCTTATTCTCACTTCTTAAAAATCAAAACTTCTTAGCATTAATCCACATCCATTTGCCTCTCTCTGTAAAAACAGTTCAAATTCCAACAATGGTGATCGTATATTTTATCATGTTGTAATGAGTTCTATTAAAAAAAAAATCACTTTATAGCAATGTAGCATATTGTTGGTCATCTATTAAAGGTTTCTCAGTACTTTGAGTTTGGAATTTTGCAGGTTAGTTAGTGTATTTTGCATTTCTCTATATTATGATCTCCAGAGAGGTATGTGCTAATAACATGGAATGTTCCAGCATCATTATAGATTCCACCACACTTTTACTGTCTGCAGCAGATAGAGGTTTTGCGTTAAATTTCAGATGGTGTGCTTCTAAAGTTGTGCACGCAGGGAATATTATTTCACAGATTGGATACAGGGCGTGTGCATAAAAATAGCATCTGTTGAAATATGTTTCTGCTGTAAAAGTTCCAGCTCTGACACAGAATGTGATCAGGTTCTCTCGCACGCACACACATAATTGTAACACCTGCATTGGTATGCATTTTATATCTGATAACTGCATGCATTTGACTGTCCACTTTTGCTAGGAAACTAGAGGATGGTAAGGCCTAATGTGTTGGTATGCTGTCCTACACTGCACCAGGCAGCCAAGAAGGGAATTTGCTAAGTTTGAGTAGCCTCAGCTACTGTTTGAATCATTACTTTTGTTTTTCTGGTTCTTTGCAGAGTGCTGCCAGGACCGTAACACTAGCAGAGAAGTCTGTATTGCTGCCAAAACACTGAAAGCAGTGATTAGTTGGCATCCCCATCTTAGCCTAGAGAGTTTGTGAGAAATCATTCATTTAGGTTTGATTGCCCTCTTGTTGCTCATGCAACACGAGGAGTCTATTGTCAATAGCAGTTGCCTTGTCTGTTGATTCTTATTTTAACATGCTAATTATAATACTTGTTTTGAGCGCACCTTGCCTTTTACTTTAAACTTTAGCGTTTCATCAATCCCAATTTGTTTTCATAATTTTCTGCCCAGTTTGAACCTGGAAGGACTGATAGTTGCACACACATCTTTTTGTTTTCCACTACAGGACCTATTTGTGGTGTGTTTGTCTTGTAGTGCACCATTCCTGTGGACTACAAATGTTTGCCCTTTGCTAACCTACTTTGGTGATTCTCTCTGATCCTCAGTGGAAGCTTCCTGTCAGGATGAAGATGAAACAATGGAGACTATAGAGGCTGCTGAAGCACTGCTTAACATGGAATCTCCAAATGCGATCTTGGATGAAAAAAGAATGTGTGAGTATTAAATACATGCATTACTTTTCATTTCTTTGACACTTGGCACTTTCCTTTTCACACCTTGCCAACTGATGTCATTGTGTGGTGTACATCTGTTCTAACATAATGTAAGTGTAGACTGCACACAGTGTTCCAACTTATGGTCAGGACTTTGGCCTGAAGCCCATTTTCTCACATTAGATGCATTTGATGAGTTTCCTAAAAGTATCGTCTATTTATACAAAGACAGTTGCTTGTGCGTTTGACAGATTGAAGGAAAAATAAAGTACAAATTGATTTCAAAAAAAGAAGTGTTCAGCTACGATGAAGTGTACTTTGCATGCTGTGTGAAGAAATCTCCTTGTTGATCTGTCAGCAGTGCTGGCCCATCAGTGCCAGACTCTCCGTATGTGCTATCTGTGAAAAATAAATCCTAACATCAATGTCTTGCCAACTAAACCATGAGGTTCATTTATTTCCTCCCCCTCCCTTTCATTCCCCTCCCCCTCAATCTCTGTTTAGTTCATGGATTTGCGCATTCCCTGGATGGAGAAATTACTGGGACTGTTCCTGACATGTCTGTCACATCAGATAAGAGAGCAGAGGTAATCAACAGGTCTTCAGCTCTTGTGGCACATGATGAAGATGATTCTGCGGAGGACTCACCCAAAAAGAATGCACTTAAACAAAGGAAAAAGAAAGGTGAATGCTAGATTGACAGATACTGTTTTTGAATTAGCTTTATTGTCACATGAGTCCAGCGAAGAGTTTACAAGTCACCTCATATGTCATGGCACTATTGTAGGCCCAAAAGTACTAAGTTATCATTCTTGAGTGCAAATTCTGAGGGAAAAATAAATAAATAAAACGTTAGCGGGGAAAGAGGAAAAAGGCACTCAAGGCCATGTTGCAAGGACACTGGCAGCCAGACTTATTTTACCTCAGGTTTTGCGAAATAATTGCAAATATTTAATTAGGCACTTAAAGGTATATCCAGTTTTCTTTTGTCTGGTGTTCCCTTCTTGTCGCATTTTGTTTTGCTCTGTGATGGTACAGAAATTTTTGAGTCAATGGGGTATTCTGCATCTGGCTAATAAATACCAGTTTTGAGTCAGTACTTTCCTGACGTGTTAAGGAATATACATTTGAGTTGTGTGCCCAACACAATTTTGATTATTGAAATTAAGATAATCTGATAAATACTGATGGTTTGTCCTTTTGTTGTGCGTGTTGTCTGTGTGTAATAATTCCTGTGAAAGTTTAGACTTGTACTGGGAGCAAATTAAACCCAGGACCAGGTGGCCTTGTGCACCATGAAGGTTATGCTCATTAGTTATTGTCAGTATTGCATTGGTGTGCACTCAAACACAAGTGGTAGGAATGTGCGAATGGTAATATTACTGTGCATCAGTACGTACTTGGCCTAAGCACAGAATTCTAACCAGACGAGCTACTGCACATTCGATTCAGTTATAAAAGATTTTCCGTCCCAGATCTGTAAGGTTTCCTGATTGTTTGAACCTCCTTTGAAATGTCAGGACTATTTCTACGGTTGATGTTCTATCAACAGTGAATTTGTATCATTTCTGCAATTTGTATTCATGTTTGCTGTTATCAGTAATAGTCACACTTGCACACACATGTTAATGTGACCAGAATGTGTGCGGGTGCACGCTGCAGTTTAGATAGCAGCTTTAATCAGGCGGTACCATGCATACACACTGATGTGATTTAATTTTCCAGGTCGTAAGATGAAACCGACTCGACCGTCTTCACCTGTCACAGCGCCACACCTTCCAATTAAGAAGAAAAATAAGGATGGAAAAGGTACTGCACGATTCGTGAGACAGCTCGACAGTTGCACAAACATTGTGATTTACCTTTACGGAGGCTTTTTGCATCATCAGCAAAATGATGATGTGATGACACTGAGTGATGGGTCTGCTGACAACCCAAAAATAAAGTGTTTTTTCTTTTGTCGTGTTTGCCGTTCTTCCACACACCCCTCTGTTTCCTTCCCCAACCTTGTAATTGGGCTTTCAGTTTTAAACCTGACAGCGTGCATTTACTGGTGATTTCTGTCAAGCCAGAGAAGAGTGCTGAACGGCCAGCCATTTCAGCGATGATCGTGTGAACAAAGATGTAAGAAATTAAGGTCTAAAAATAATATGTACTCTTCTTGTCCCTTTGAGCATACAACAAGACTGTACTAACACAGAATTTTTAAATGATGGTCCATTGCCATATTTACTGTATTGTTACTCATCCCTCCTGCATTTGAATATGCACATACTGCATCCTTGATCCGGAAATGATGGCTACTAATACTGGCTAGCCAAAGTTGGGCAGTGGTCCCTTCCTCAGGCTTTCATTATTCACTTGATCTCCACCAAAATAAATGTATTTCTTTTCAAAACAAACTAATTCAATTCTTTGTAATTCGGTCTTTGCTAAATAGCTGCTATCGGCATGGTACTTGTTGATGGGATTATGGGTGTTGAATCATACGTTAAATAGCACAGCACAAGAGCCCTTTGGCCCAATGTGCCTGTGGTAACATTAGATGACTTGCTGATCTTCTCTTGAGCTGCAGCAAGCTGAGGCATAGGACTTCTGCTCATGGAGGAAGAGAGAGGCAGCGGATGTGCTGGGGAAGTGCTAGTTTTGTTTCTGTGACATCTGGCAGATGCACTATTACTAGAAGCTACAGTTGCAAGACCAGCGAGTAGTCCTTTTATTAGTGGAGGAAATTTCGGACTCCTTTTATGTTTTTATCGGAATTATGAGGAGCAATTTTAACATGCTGGTTTAGAAAGGAACAGGATCTGTTGTAATGTTGGCTTTATACCCTGCCATACACTATTTCAATGAAGAGAGAAAATTCAGTAGGATCATAACCATCAGTTGTCCCTCGAAGCAAGTACAGCCTGTGGCAAAAGATTGCAGTTGGAACTTTTTTGTAGAGGCTGTTGCCACAAAATTCTGCCACTCTTACCACTTGCCTTGGGCATAGCAATTTACTTAAATCTTTACAGTTCATCTAAGGTGCCAATAAATGTTTAAACGTTTTAAAAAAAGACACAAATCTCGCTCTACCAATTCTGTAGGTTAGAAAAGTAATTTGTTTCAATAGAAATAATTTATTTGATCATCTCAAACAAATCTCTGATGATAGATTAATCAAAAGTTTAACAATGATTTCAGCTTTAGCAAATACAGTGAAACAGATCAACTTAGAAAATAGCAAATGGAAAGTTTCCATGAAGCAACTGTTGTTGGATCAGTCAGGAAGAAAGGTACTTCATTCTTCACAATCTGTTAACATTATGAAAAGTCATTGTTTCACTTTTATCTCCTGTCGCATTGTTTATTGTGAAACGTTTTATTATTAAACATTTGATGCTTTCATGATGCTTGGCTTTATCTTTTCTAGGCAACACAATTTATCTCTGGGAGTTCCTGCTGGCTCTCCTTCAAGACAAGAACACTTGTCCAAAGTACATTAAGTGGACTCAGAGGGAGAAGGGAATTTTTAAACTAGTGGACTCGAAGGCTGTATCCAAATTGTGGGGCAAACACAAAAACAAACCTGATATGAACTATGAAACAATGGGCAGAGCTCTTAGGTGAGTAGGGTCCAAACATTCTGCACAAAATGGGGTTACTCCAGCTTTATTGGATACAACATAAGAATCAATACATTGTATTGTCTTAACATCGTGTAAGCTTTTTAAGACTTGTTCTGGTCATCATCAATAGACAGCAACAAGTTGAATTCTGACTGACGTTTTGTTCCTCCTAGGTATTACTACCAACGAGGGATCTTGGCAAAAGTGGAAGGTCAGCGGCTGGTGTATCAGTTCAAAGAGATGCCAAAGGATCTGGTGGTCATAGATGATGACTCAGCTGAGCACTCTACCTCGAATTTGGTGACCTTGCCCAGTTACGCAGCTACATCGCCGATAAAAAGCAGAAGTGCCACTGTTGGTGTCTCTCAGCTACAAAATACAAACAAAATGACAGCAGTGCCACAGAGCGTCCTGGTGCAGCACATCAAACAGGAAAACACTTCCTTACTGACTCAGCAAAGCCAGAAGGCAGCAGTACAGCACGGTCCATTTTTACAAACCATCCAAGGGCTCCAGAGCAATCAAGTTCTTCAGCACGGATCCCCGGAAGTTTCAAAGGGTGCTTTAACCATAGCATCATCTGGACACCCAATGAGGTAGTGATGAGCTTTATTGCGGTTTTCATGATTTCTAATTTGTGAATGGGTATTGCAGAAAAAAACAAGTGCTCCCATTTTGCACAAGCACCAAATATACTGCCAGCCTGTAACTTGTAAATTTATACTGTCCTAAAATTGTAACTGTAAAAGTATCTTTTGAATGGTTGTGCACAATCTAATTTTATCTTTCTTCCAGAAATATTCTCAATGTGTATCTGTATCATCTGGGCTAAGGTTAGGGGGACCAAACTTATTAACAGAGATGCTACTGAGCAAGATATGGACTGAACTTCAGGACTGTTATGCCTGAGTATGTGAAAATCTTCAGTGGCCACCCAAGAAACTCTGTGATGTGCTTAATGTTGCATTACAATCCCATTGGGAATATTTTCAAACATCTTGAACTGAGGCTTAATTAGCACAATCATTTGGCTAGTAACTGCTAAATTGTTTGGATTTTTTCCACATTTAGACATTAAGCTATTCACTTTTAAGACAGCTTAGTAAGAGACTGATAGGAACTTTCAACTTCATGGGAATTGAATTGGGAGCATTTGACAGGAATCCTGAAATGGAAGCTAAGATCGTCTGAATAGATGTATCCATCTCTTCCTATAATGGACTAGGAAACTAGGGCAAGTCATGGAAGACTAGATGCCTCAGTGTACGGGTAGAATCAACAATGAATAATGTGATCTGGTGATGAAGGGAGTTTGCACTGGGTTTTTGGAGTGGTTGGGAAAGGAAGGATAAAATGCCTCTAGTCATTATTTGCAAGTTTGTGGAATCTGATTTGGACTTATGTACTTTTTTTTTATTTTAATAACTTTTTAAAATAATCATTTAAAAGTTTATTGGAAGAATTTCACCGGTTGGTCTCTGATATCTAATTTGTTGTGCTACAATCTTGCAACTAGTCTTCAAACTGTTTAATTAATGTTTTTCTTTTCCTTGAATCCAGCAGGACAATAAGTGTCCCAGCTCAGGTTCCTATGGTGATGACGCCTGGTGCACATGCAGTCGGTACTCTAATGTTGCAAACCATACCCCTCACCACAGTGCTGTCTGGAACAGACACATTGAACAACTCTCCTTCCAAAGTTATTTTACGTGCCATTCCGTGTTCGGAAGGCTCAAAGGAAACAATCACTATTCAGGCCACCTTGTCTCCTACAGGTGTAGATGGTTCTGGCTTATCCGAGATCCAGCAAGCCCAAGTAATTGCGACCAGTCTTTCGTTAACTGATGGTGGATTTCAGCCAGTGGTAAACAATTGTGTACAGCCTTCGTCTGATACCGTCACGCAGCTAGTGACCATCAATAGCAACAGTCAGCCAATGGTTGCCCACCGTCCAGGCAGCGTAATTGCCACAGTTCTTAAACCACCGGAACCCATTCTGGACACTCCCGAATTCCAGGCTTCAAACACAAGTGCAGATGCCACCAGCCCTAGTGTCAAAATGGCAGAATTGGAGAAGGAGCTTGGACCTACTTCAGATGACGAGCCTAACTACCAGCATCTCCAAACTGTGATGCTGAGCAGTACGAATGGTATTGCGACATCTGTCATAAAGGTTGAAGGAATGGACAAAGACTTTGAAAGTGCTATGGAAGATTCTGAGAACCTCAACTGTTCATTGTCTCACAGTCCAAACTGTGCTCTCACCCCCGTAGTGAAACTAGAAGCCAATGAAGATTGTTCGGTGCTGAATCTACCACAAGACCATAGACATGATCAGGATAAAACTCTTGTGGATACCAACCTTCATGACACCATGCCATTTCTGAAACTGGAAAATGCCCAAATGTTTTCACATGCAGCAAGTATGCTTAACTATCCCAGTAACATGGCTCCCAGTTCAAGTGCCATATCCACTTCTGTAGTCGTTAAAACAGAGCCAAAAAATTTGTAATTACTGTAGAATACAATATCTTTGTATCTTTCACATATGTTGGATCCTTGTTTGTCCTATTATAATCATTTTGGCAGATTGTAAATAAGCAGTTAGTGATTTATAATCTAGGTCAGAATATTTAATACTGTATCTAGGCTACCAGTCAATTACAATTTGCAATAATGTCATTTTAAATCCATGTATCAACATCTGTAAAATAATCAAGGGACATCCATGCTGCAATAATTTTGTCAAATTTTGATGAAAAATCAAAATTTCACACTCTGCTTCTTCTGAAGCCCACTTTTCCTGCTGCCTTTTGTTGTACTAGAAATAATTAAGATTGGTCTTGAGCTAAATCTATTTTTACCCAAGTGCCACAAAGGTGAATCCTGGGGTAAAAGTTGTAAATGTTAAGTTGAACTGCTGAAATGCAAAGGCAGGTTTTCTTCAAACCTGACTAGCATTGGAACTGGTAACTAGTGGACCATTGCACTGGCAGGTCATTGGTTGGGTTGTTGCATCCTGCTTGGACTTCAGAGGTATCCCAAATTCAAGTTAATTGGACTGAGAGTTGAGATTGCACTTGGTGTGTTAAGGCGAATGCAGTTCAGTTTCATTCTGTTTGCTTTGATACAGATTTCAATCATTGGAGATGTGCCCAGAATTGAATGAGCCATAAATCCCAAATATTTTCCTATAGTCTTCTATTTGGTGTGATGAGTCAGTGGTACTTTATTCCTATTTGTGAGCTTTTTTGCCCCAAATTCCCCTGACCCTGGATAAGTAGCATTCAAATCCAACTTCAAAAGCATAATCTGGGCTAGTCCTCAATACGACTAAACCTTTTAGACAATATATCCTATTTATATTTTGTACCTTTGCTGAAAACCTATTTAAGGAACTTTTAGATTTCTTGCCAGCAATTTGATGTAAACCAGATTTAGAAAATAATATTGAATGTAATTTTAGGTCACCATAAACATGGTGCTAACAAACCACAAGATGAAAATTTTATATCTGAATTGTTAATGCCTTGTAGGTTCATTGCAGAATGATATATTTTTCATATATGTAATATGAAGAAAATTCTTCAGGAAAAATGTGAACTGGGATATTTTATAAATGGTGGGATTATTTTCCAAGCAAAAATATTGTAAATATTTATCTTTGATATTACAAAAAAGTCTACAGTTGCTGAGGTGTATTATTTCCTCTTGTGCTCTGCTTTTTTTTTGACAAAATTCTTATTGTGTTGTAAGTGGGGATTTGCTTTAGTTTATTTTCATTCAGGCCAATGTGGATATTGCAGACTCTTCAAGAAAAATGTCATGTGGTAGTGAGATTTCTTTAAAAGAAATAAAAACCTTTTTATTTTACAAATTACATAATTAGACTGGTGATTTTTTTTTTAAGAAAATAATTTTAATGTAGAGTGGACCACTGAATTCCCTAAGGAAGTTTTAGTCAAAACTCGGAATTAGTTCCTGCCGCCTTGCTGTCACTTCAGTGAGTAGGTGCAGTCGTAGGTGCAAGAGACTGCTGCTTGCAGTTACAGAATGGAGGGAAAATTTTGACAACAAGTAGTTTCTCTTATTCTGCTGTTCAGCAAAAAGCACGAAAATCAAGTAATCTAAAGAGGAGACAGGAAACATGCTAAAATGTATGTACCAGCCTATAACCTTTTAAAATAAATTGTATTGCTCAGGCTTTGTGCCTTCAAGGACTAATATCTGCAGTTTAATTAGTAATCAAGTGGTGATCCTGGTCCGGAGCATGCCTCAACTCCAAAGTCATGTGACATACACTGATCAAGTTGCAATTGTGTGAAATTTGATGTCGGCATTGAATCAACCCACTCACTGTTCAACATGCTTACACACCCCAGTTGACTTCCTATGCAATCTTGTACCTGAATTTATGATTAAATATCCATTTTGATTCAGTATCTTTGATGCATTAATCTAGGATCGGTGTGAACAGGGTGAGCAACAGTCTCCTTGACCAATCAAATTGAAGAATCCTTTAGGGGCAAGATAATTCTAAACAATTAGAACATTGAATTCAACATTCATTCAAAGAAAGTCCCATCTGTTTTTCCTATCAAGGAGAGAGAAAAGATTTTAAAAACTGAAGGAGGAAGGTTGCACACTTGTAAAAGTTAATGCTCCGTGCCAGACCAGTTGTTCAGCTGTAATTAATACTTACCACAGTGTTAAAATGCAATTAAATTTGAACGGACATGGTCTAACATTTTCTGGTCTTTTAGAGGGCTTGTAAATAATATTCCATGCTCTTTGTATTTTGGTGCTGAATCTCTTGGCAAGATAATAACACTTCTGGAGGAGCAACTCAGAATTCAAATCCTCGTTGCTTCATTTAACTGCCTGTTTGTGTTCACTGGAACTTGCTGTCTGATTAATACTTTAACAACAGTGAATGCTGATCAGCTCACCATTGCTTTTAACACCCGTTTCTGGGCCATTGTTTGCCTCTCTGAAGTCTCTGACAGTGTCATTCCCACTACTTCCCTCCTAAGGCAGTCTAGGCCATTGGGCTATCTTTGCCTTGATCCAGTCAAAGATACTTGAGAGTAGGTGGATGGTCCCTTCTCCCATCATCGAATTTGGAATTACTTAAGGATGCATCCTTGTATTCTCCTCTTTCTCTTTTGCGTGTTGTTGACAGATATGGGGCTGGATTTTTAAATGTTGGAACAAAACCCAACATCTGGACGAATTCTGGGTCCTTACATAGTGCACAAGCAATTTTTAAACTTTAAATGTCTCAAGGGACTCAAGTTTTTCTTAAAATTTGTTCATGGGATGTGCCCATCACTGGTTGGGCCATCATTTATTGCTCATCTCTCTGGGGATCTGAAATCACATGTAAACCAGATGATTTCCTTCCCTTAATAGAATTAGTGAACTAGATGGGTTTTACAATAATTGACAGTGGTTATATACCGCAATTAGGCCAGCTCTTTATTCCAGACTGTTATTAGTTTCAACCTTCACTATTGCCATAATTAGGTTTTGAACATCTGACTCCAAACGCTGGCTTGAGGTCCTGAATTGCTAATCTAGTGACATTCCCAATACACTCCGGCCTCCCTGTGAGTGGATTGGAATGTTTCCGGAGTCAAAAGCAGGTGGAAGCCATGTTAGGGGTTGCTGCTGTGTTGCCACTTAGGCAGAAGATTGAAAGGTTTTGGTGCAGTGCTGGTGTTGTTGTTCTTTCTATTTTCAACTCGGAACAACTGGAGAGAAGATTGCTTGGGGCCTGCAGTGAACCTAGCAATTCTAAAGTGTGCAAGATGGTTCAGATTGAGAAAATAAGAAAATTGCAAACTCAACAAGCCCATGATTAAGCTCCTCAATGAGATTAAGGGCCATTAATTGGAGCTAAACTGTCTCACTCTCCCCCACCAACCCCAACCTCCACCAAACCTTTCAAAATCTAAAACTGTCTTGGAGGCATCAGGATTCTGAGACACCCACTGGGAATTGAATTTTTAATTCCCACAATGGGTCCTGACCCTGTGGCCCTTTGAAAATCTGACCTGTTTGTTCAGCACATGTTGACAGTCAGCTGTACCTCAACACCACTTCCCTAGGGGCCTGCACAGCATTGATGCTTGGTTAATCTCATCCATTAAGATTCCTCAGAACTCGCCTTGACAAAGCTTTTGACCATCCCTGGTAATATTATCTTTGGTTTTCCATAATTTATTTTCTTCTGATCATGCCTCTGTGAATTGCAGTGGTGCATTCTCTTAGGCTAAAGGCACAGCATAAATGCTGTACAGTTTTAAATCTGTTTAGGGACATTGCATTAATTTTATATTAAATAAGAAAGGCTTTTCCCAAATTGTAGAATCAGTATCGGCATATTGGCTGACAGAACAAGGTATGTAGATAAACTACAATGTTATATCATTGACATCTTAGTTATCTGAAGGTTGAGCTTGCAGACTACAACCAGATTGCCAGTTTGGGAGCATGGGTGGGGATTGCAGGTAATGACATCCTGGTCGTTTTATAAACTACCGAGATATGCCAGAGGACATTAGTTATGAGTAGGTTTATGATGGCTTCGCTGTTAGTGTTGCTAATGCGGTGATCTCTCCTTCATTCTTGATTTTGACCAAGGTTACGCACTGTCAACAGTGCCTTACAGCAAGATGGTAATTTATTGTAGATGTGTCTTTATCCAGTAAATGAAATGGTTGATGATGACAGTTGGGTTTATTTTAATGTTGTGTAACTGAGCTGTGTGTTATTATATGCTGCCCCGTTTGGATAGGATGAGGAAACTTTGGGACTCTTCTTACTTCACACTGCCACAGGAGAAAGGATCTGACTAGAACAAAGTAGGAAAGCCACATTGCCTGAACATATTTGAAATTCTTCTATTGCAAATTAATGATCAAAAATAGCATTAAAAGCACATTTTGCTGATATTCTTCTCCCCTTTCAAACTGATGCAGGACCCTGGATTATCGCTGTGTCTTGTCTTTCTCCCAACCCTTCCCCCCCTATTTCACTTCAAAGCTTTCTCATTCCCATTAGGCTTTTGTAGCTCTGAGGAAAGAGGGGTTAGCTTGTTGAAGTTGTTGGTCTTGAACTCACCAGAACAGTTTGCAAGAAATACCAAAGTAAAGGGAAAAAAACAATGAAAGTGGTCATGGTCACTTTACTGAGTCTAGCTTTGTATTTCCAGACTTATTTATGAAATGTAAAGTCCACCAGCTGCTATGGTTGGACTTGAGCATATTAGCTGGGGACTAACAATTAATTATCCTGTGATGTTACTAGGCCAGTGTCTCCCTGCAATACCTGTAGCTTCCACTACATACAAATGTGCTACACTATGGGCCAGACTGACCGTCCTAAATTGGTTGTCAGGTCTTTTATTTGTGTATGCAGGATTATTTAACAAACGTTGTCCAGTTGCTGAAGTGCATCTACTTTAGCACTCTCGTGAGTTTTGCAAGTGTGGGCTGGTTGGGTACAATCAATGCCCTGCTTGTGAACGTGATATACAGTTTGACATATGGCCGTCGGTCTTTGAGACATATAACCCACACGGATAGCATCACAATGGCACTGAGACTCACATACCGCATACTCATTCCTGGGATAGGCAGAACATCTTTTTGTTTAGCGACAACATCCTATTATGGCGAACACAATTCTTGCTGCTGCTGTATAGTACCCGTGCAAAGCAGTCAACTTCACCTGTTCAACGTTCTCAGCTAACTTTTAACTCTTTCACTGTAATCTGAGGTAGACTGGGCACTTTTCATGATCAAAAATGAAGGGTTATGTCAAGTGGATGTAAAAGGTGCCATGGTTTTATTTGAACAAGACCACGAGCTTTTGTCTTGACCTTAGGGGATAAATGCTGTCTTTTCTACCATTCAACTGATTTCGTTCATGTTTATTTTATTGCCATTTATGAGAGCTTTCTGTGTATAAATTGGCCACCAAGTTTCAAGCATTACATCAGCAACTACAGTTGGTAGCTAGAAGTGGGATTAGAACTTCTGAGATGGATGGTACCAAAGAAATGCATGTCCTTGAGATTTCTTTCAACTGCTGTTCTCAATTGTGATGCCCCCATCTTTGTGGCTTTTCACCTGGGTGTTTATGTGAAAAATATCCACTTCAACTTGGGACGAGAGGCTCTGCTGTCACCCATTAAAACGCTACCTTCTGTTGAGCTACAACAGACAGGAACATTGGAAATGGGTAGCAAGATTCTTGATCAGTAGTGGAATTGAGGGTTTCAGGGAAAGGGCAGGAAAGTGGACCTGATGAATTTTGGATCAACCATGATCCTACTGAATGGTAGAGCAGGATCAAGGGGCCAAATGGCCTACTGTTTCTTATGGTGGGTTCAGAGATGGTGTAAATGGGGAATAGGTGGTATGTTAATCTTCAGGCCAAATATTGTCTATAATTAGACACTGAAAGAAGCATTTGTTAGTCTATTACAACTTTATGTAATGAGACAAGTATAGCCAAGTACCTATTGGGAAGCGAAATTGCTATTTTCTAAATTGACCTAAATATATTAGATTAGGCACATTACAAAATAAGAATTTATTTGTCATTGCTGGTTTCCACTGTTTGCTGTACTGTAGAATTCCAGTATTCCTTCTATTCGGTTCACGTAAACATCATGGTGGTCTTAGCCCATTTTCTGTTAATTAGCTGTGACTATTAATCCTAATTAGACTTGACAAGAAATAAACTGGTGCTGCGAAAACAACAACACTAAAGCTTTGCCCGCAGAGCTCTTTCTGCCTTAAACTGTTCACTTCTAATTCCTGTTCGCATTTGGTTACTGAATTAAATGTATCTTAATTTTTTTGTACATAA